AGGAGGAAGCTCAGCGCGGAGCTGTCTGCGCAGCACCAGCCTGTTTAGCATCTGCTTCGGGAAGAGGTTCCTCCTGCCCTGCCCCGGGCATGGGATGTAGACTTGGCACGGGAAGGCGGGTGGGTTTGGGGACCGCCAGTGGGAAAAGGGCTATTGCAGCCGTGCAAGCATCCGGCACGTCCCCGCGGGGTGGAAAAAGCAGGACAGCACCGGCCCTGGCTGGTGTCTTATCAGCTGGAACATCGTTTCAGGAAAAACACAAGGACTTGGTTTAAACCAAGCCAGAGGCCATCTCTGGCAAAGGCTTAAGATTGTTGCCATGAAATTCTGTAAAGATTGGGTAAGAGATGAGTCACTCAAAACCCTGCATCACCCCAGCACGTGCACGTGCTCGGTTAAGAGGCAGTAAGGAATTTTGTGCATGAGCTGCATGTTTATACATAACTGTATGATGTGCCGCTGCACTCCATGTATTTATACACAACAGAAATGTTCTTTCAAGGGTATAAAGTCACTCAAGAACTTGACTGCCAAGGTACTCCTAAAATATTTGAAAGAAAAGAGCAGGGAGTGGAGAGGGCTGTGGTCTGGATGCTCTCTATGTTTGTAACGACCATGCAGAACGGGCCGCTCCAAGAGCACAGCAGTCTCCTGCAGATATTAATGCTTTTGAAAATGCTATTTTAAGTAAAAAGCTGAAGGGGAAGCACGTGGCTGTGCACCCTGAGGTCACGCTCAGAACTCTGCCCATGCAGCGTCTTGTACCAGAAAATGCAGGGGAGCTCGGGGCTCCGCCAGGCGCAGCTGCCTCCTGCTCTAAAGCCTCAAGCACCAGAGCTCCCACGGCCTCTCCAGGCAGCACGTTGCAGAGCTCAACTCTTCCTCCTGCCAAGACCAACCGCTTCCTCCTGCTGTCCAAGCTAAATTTATCCTGCTCTGATTAAAATCTATTTTTCTTGTCCTTTCCACAGTGGGGAGGGAAATTATTTCATTCATCTCTGCAGCTGTTTCTTACAGATTCGAAAGCATCTCTCCCACCTCCTTGAAACAAGCCCAGTCCCTCATGCTGTCACCCTCCTCATTGCTTTTCTTTGGACTTTCTCCAGCGGCTGCACGTTTGCCATGAAGAACAGTGCCTACAGCTGGCTACCATATTCCCAGAAAGGCTTTCCACTATCACAAGAGGGATTATGCTGTGCATCTTGAAGGCTCCATTTCTGTTAATACATCCCACACTTTTTTTCCCTTCAATAACAGGATGTTCACCTGGATTTGTTCACCTGGTGACTGGCTACAACCCTGGGTACTTCTCTGTACTAGCACTGCCCTAGCAGCCTGTCCCCATACTGAATTTATTTAGTTGGTAATTTCTTCTACTGAAGTGCACAAAATTGCACTTAAATTCCTTTCTGGATTTAATGAATCACATTCTACCTTTTTTGGGATGTACTGTGATCATTTTGAATTGTTATTCTATTTTCTGCTGTGTGTCATCTCAAGTCTGATGCTCCCTACAATTTAACGAGCATATCCAGTATAAGATGCTAATGAAATCAGCAAACGAGATCAGATCACAACAGACCCCTAGAGAATCCCACTGAATACATCCTTCGACTACAAATAATTTGTAATTATTACAAAGAAGTTTTCACATTCTTACCTTTAAATTGGTGTCAGATAGACCACAGTCCTCTACTTTCTTATGGATAGTCAGTCACCTGGCCTCACGTTGTGTCTACTGCTTCTCCTTTGTTCAAAAGTCTTGCGACCTTGTTGCAGAAGGGACAACATGGGTTTGCCAGTTTTTTTTCTTTTTCTAAAAGTCTCTCAGATAGTTTCTCTGTCCCATTATTTTTCTGAACAGAAGGGTGGAAAGCTGAGGGGTGGCTGAGCCTCTGCAGAGTTTACCACATTCCCCTCCCCTTGTCTTTAAGGCTTGAAAGTAATTTGCTGTATTTATTTCTAATCTAGGTATGACATAAACTATTTTGCCCAGACTATGAATCTCTTACATATGACAGAATAAGTATAGCTTGTCTTAAATAGGGACATAAGTATCCTGGAAGTACTCACTACTCTGCACCAACATCACCCAATACAAGGACAAGGACAGTCCTTTCCTCCTGCATCCAGGGGACCTTCCTTCATTGTGTCAGGATTTCAATGACTTGTTGTTATAGCGGAGAGTCATCAGACAGAGGAGGTTCCTCAACAATATCCTGTCCTTCCTTCAAAGATTCCAGCTGACTAGATTTAAAAATAGAAAAAAATATAGTAAATGAATTAAACATGCATCCACTAAATACTTCTATGGCACAAAAGACCATGTGGGTGGAACTGCTCCCAACATTGATTTTGAAAATGAAAGACCCACATCCATCTCATCAGGGAATTTTTGCAAAAGTGGATGTGGAATCATGGTAACAATAATTACACTTTAAGAACAGGACCTAGTTACTTGGCTACTCTTCTTTGAAGATGATGACAGAATAATTTTTCCCAACAACTGAGTTTATGCTGACTGGGAACATGAATTTGCAGGTCACAGTAAATACCCACTACCATCAAACATTAAAAAAAACACCCTTCATCAATAACATTGATACTTTCCTATCACATTTCTTTACGCTTAAAAACATCAAAATACACCATTCTGTTACTCTAAATCATTATATACCTAGACAAATCCCAGCACCTTACTTTCTGTTGTGTTAATCTACATTCTGTTACGTGGTTCTAATGTGCATCTACCTGCTCTTCTGCAACGCAACTGCATTACCCTGTGTGGTCCTTGGTATCTTAGTGTGAATTAATTCATGTAATAGAAGACTTTGACAAGTCCTTGAAGAGCAGGAATGTGACTTTCCAGGCTTGGCCACTTCATGTTAGTAAAAACCAGTAAAGGCAGAATAGCTTAATCCTTACTAAACAGATTGAAGAAGAATACACACATACGCAGTATAGAGCATGAGTAATCAACATATTGTAAAAACGCATCCTCACTTCTCTCCCTCCTGGTAAAACTTTCATGGGCTTGTTAACACAATAAGATAATCTGCATTTAAAATTAAAATGTCAGTTTTAAAGTTATACTTCCAGAAAAAGAACAGATATGCAAATATGAAATTCATAACTCATTTATTGAATATATATATGCAAGGATACCAATAAAAAGAAACTAATACTGCAAACTACAACTTTGGAAGTAAAGCCAAATATAACAGGAACAAAATATACATAACATTGTAGATAGGAATGCATTTACCCTCGTGTATACATTCCTTGTCTTTACACCTAATGTAAATGTATGCTAGAGCAAAAGCTGCAGGTGTTAGCCTAACCTGAGTGCTTTGACAAGCTACAGTTCTCCAGGATCCTTTAAGGGCTGAGATGTCACTGCTGACTAACGAATGTGCATACATATGCATATACACAAACTGCTCCAACATGTATAGAGAAATTAAGAGCTTTTTTTTTTTTTTTTTTAAACCTCCATCACTAACACAGTTCTGTTTCTGGTGACATGGAAGAAGAGTTACTATTTGCTATAAGGTACTTTCAGTTCTTTTAAGATTAGTTTCATCTAATGAGGATCAATTTTACTGTCAATCTGATTCAACATATTAATCATTTTTGGAAGGCACTGATTATCACACCTGCCAGATAAGTTTGGCATTTCAGAAAGGTATCACTCCATTTTCTGCTCTGGTGTAAAAAAGTTATTCTTCATAGAGGCAGCAATAAGCAGCAAGTTCTGTTCCTTAAAATTACATCTTGGGTCTACTAATAGCAGAAATTCAGGGCCAAAGTCAGTAAAATCTCGCTTTGCTGTACCAGCACTTTGTACCTGAAGATCAGACCTGGTGGAGTGCGATGGACTTAGGGGCTCCTGCGTTCCAGGAGTGAAGCTGGAGCAACTCCTGCCGGAGCTACCGCAGCAGCCCCGGTGCATCCGCACCCGCCCAAGGAGGGCCCTTTGGACGCCTCATCCGCTGCATCCCTGCGGGCAGCACAGGGGGGAATTGAACCTGGCATCCCTGGGATCAGCGCAGGGTGGGATTGATCGGCACCTTCCTGCTCCACGGGACGGAGCGGCCTCGGAGCCTGCCCGGGCGCTCGGCGCGGCCCCGCGGGCCCTCCCGGGACACACACAGCGGCCTGGGGACCCCCTGCACCGCCGGGGCTGCCAGCGCCCCCAGACAGGACACGCTGCTCTTGTGAGAGAGGGCGAGGGGGAAAAACAGCACCCAAGGGCAAAAAGAAGGGAAATCCACTTCATGGGACAGGTTCTGTTAAAACCAAGAGCTGTCCGATTGTGAGATGAAAGCAGAAGGTGCCTATTACAAAGAAAATTCCTAGGAACAAATTTACTGTATTAATTCACCTAGCTAATTTAAACATACCTATTTCACCTATAGAGCACTTTCATTACTTCTAACACTTCTGGGAAGGCAAGGAGATGCTCCAGAATGACCTTCAATATATGCTTGCAAGGATTACACTGCTTAAAAAAAATAAAATAAGATAAAAAAGCAAAAAGCCCCAGACAGTCTGAAATCCCAAGCTAAAATATGCATAAAAAGACAGCAATGGCAGTATTTTGTCTTTTAAAAAAATGATGTATATGTTTTATACCTATCATACATTGTCATGCTTTTCAAAACTACAATTAAGGACATAAGAGATGTACAGTAAATACACTGCTGAGGTACATTTCTTCTAAATATTAACACCACAACAGAATTACTCCCCAGCAGGTGATGCTACTTGGGAACATATAAATACAATTTTTACATTGTAAGGCACTTTTACCCAGCATACGTGACAAGCTGAAGTCAGTTATGACAAGTTTGAGGCTAAAAACAAAAGGATTTTTGCTTTTGACTTTCGGTTCCTGTTCATTAATGACAGTTTAGGATGTACCAGCACAAAGAGGTAGCAGGTAAACCAGCCACTTAGTCCTCTGCTACCCAAAGGTATAAAGTGCTGTTCTGGTTCGCAGTGGCATGGAATGGCATGCAATATTCTACATCGGATGAATCACTGAATAACATGTTAAACAACTGACAGTGATTTAGAGCTCAGTCTCAAATACAATTAGTATGCTGGCAGATCTACCCCATGGATCTGTCATCCAATCTTGGTTAAAAATACAGTAGCTGCAAAGTGCCTTTATTCCATGGGAGAGCCATGTCTGAGGCACGAAACCCAGAAGCATTTCAACATTGAAAGATGTTACTTTGCATTCTAGAACTGTTCTGAGTGGCTGAAAAATGTTTATAATCTAGAAGAAATAAACACCCTGATAGACAATTTCAATAATCGATCTGTCATTGCAATTCAAGTCACACTTTTAATTTTGAAAGTTACAAATACAAAATAAAAATGATCAATGGCATCATGTTTAGAGCAGTAACTGAATATTTTCTGTACACAGCAATATTTCTTTCCAAAACTGCATTATTCCCCAGGAAAGCAAACAAATTGAATTCTAACAAGTAAAATGTTAGAAACTAATATACAGTAATTGAGTCCCTCAAGACATTAAGGGAATGCATAAGAAGACAATGACACACGTTAATTTTTTTAAAAATACAAGTAAAAAACGCTACAGAAACTCATGTTACAAGTGAACTGTTCTTGCAATACCCATCACAGAAGAACTGTATTATAGTTAAATCATTGAATTTTGCTCATTTCCTTCCTTCAAATCTAGAAGCTTTGTTGGGAGTTCAGAGTTAAACAAGTCAAAACCCTAAACAATGTGATGCAACAGCAACAAACTTGTGGACAAAGCTTTTTTTTTTTGGTTTTACTTAAGAGAAGTCTGAGAATGTGCTTTAACAGACCAATTGACAGGCTAATAGCCATTAGAAATGGCGAGGTGTCTTGAAAGCAGTCAGAGGACTGATCTGTTAGGTTTGGTATAAACTAGATCTGATTATTCCCTAGTGGAACATCAAACTCCAGCAAGTAGAATTCCATGACATGATTGCTGACTTGACAGAAAGAAAAAAATAATCACTAAAACAATAAAAATGATAAGCAAAGTTTCTCATATAGTGGTCATAAGATTAAAAAATAAATACCCATCTAGGAACAAAGGCTGTTTCCTCATTCTTCTTACAGAATATGGGACCTCTGTGCATATTCTGGACAAAACATGAAGTGTTCCACACAACAGAGAACACTTGAGGTATGGGCATCAGATATGGTGGCTAAATTCCAGTGAGTTAGCATTGTAACTCTGAAGTAAGATTGGGTTGCAGAGTCCAAACATTTGTTTATGAAGCTTTTAATCACACTTAGTGAAGTGTTCTGGGTGATCAGGGACGCAGAGGGTGGGCTGCCAGGGCACGAACGAACTGCAGCCCTTTGGCATGAGTTCTACAGCTCCCAGCTCACAACCAACAGCTGCTCACGTAAATCTCCCCAAACAATGCTGGCCGGAATGAGCAACCGCAACAGGAACAACCTGAAATGTTCGAGCGTGCGTCGGCGCACACCGAGTCCTTTTCCGTGTGCTTTGCAAGCAAAAACTGAGCGCGGCTTTCCCAGGTACAGCCTCCGTAACTTGTGTATGAAGAAAATGGAAAATTCACAAAGGACCAGCTTGCTGCCACCATGAACTTGTCCACGTTGTTCATTCAACTAGCCAAGACTCTCCCTCATTGCATGAATCCACTAAACTTACACATTCCAAATCTTAAGGTTTTTATTCATTCAGAAATATAGATCTTACTTCATTTCAATGTCTGCCTTAACTTTTGACACTGTACATATTACATATCATTTATATAGTGTTTCTTTTTTTTCCAGACACTGCAGACTACAAACTACATAATATTGACATGTAAAACTCTGCCACTTACTGAAGGCTCACACACATGAACGTTTCAGGCAGTTCAATGAAATTTCTAACAGAGGTGGGTAGTAAAAAGTTACTAACCCTCTCCTGATTTTAGAAAACAATTTAAAAGAATTAGTAGTTATGATGTCTTAGCCATTCCCAGTTCTATAACTCTGTCCCTTGAACCTGTTTAAAAAATGATGAAAACAATAGTAAATTTAAAATCATACAAAAAAAAAAAAAGCACTTAGCAGCTCTGACATTACATCTATATTTATCAACAGAAATGAGGGCCTCCCTTCTTACAGTTACAAAGTCAGCTGGATTAAAAAAAAACTCCCCATTTTTCTACGGTATGCCCATAAAAAGTACTTATCTGCATACACGAGATTTAAATACTTTACTGCAATAAACTACATGAAATATATATTGCATTTCAGTCTCAGTAACAGATCTGTCAGGACAACCTTCCATACCTAGTTTCCATTGAGCTGCTGCTGAGGAATGTCATTGTGGTCAGTGCCTGATTTTCCACGGCTTTTGCTTTCTCTTTCTTCATCCTCTTCATCTCTTTCATCATTTCCACTATGGTTTTTACAATAGAGTCTAAAACAGAAGGAAAAAATGAAGGTTTTATTGAAAGTATCTTCAAGACAAACTGTTAGTTTTGTGATGCCCTACAGGTAAGTCTCACATCATTCATGGGCTTTAGTCAATTAAAATGAGAAGGAAAGTGAAGTTAAAGCAAAAACTAAGCAACAGAACGTCAAAACTGGTGAAAAGTGCAGTTTCCAAGAACTCTGTTGCTCGGAGAATGCCCTCTTGTGGGCACAGCACCACTGGCATCTTCAGCTGCAGCCAGGGCACTAAGAGCAGCAGCTGAGCAGGGAGGTGATGGAAGAACCATAATGTAGATTAACGTGGTCTCAAGAGAGTAAATTACAGATTAATCGAGGTGGGAAAATTATCATTCGATTATTTTTCTTAATGTTCACATTACTATGTGACTACTACAGAAAACTGAAGTTAGAGTTAACTGAAATATTCTGCAGAGTCAACAGTTATTTTAAAATATTAAAGAGTTTTTTTTTTT